CCCTATATATCTTTTTCTTGCTTAACCGCTATTGCAAGTACTTCCAGTACTATATGAAGAGAAGTTGTGAGACTGGGAATTTTGTCTTGTCCCTGATCTTAGAGGAAAGACTTTTAGTTATTCCCCATTGAGGATAATGCTTGCCATAGGTTTGTGAATAGATGGCTTTGAGTATATTGTGGAAAGTTCCTTTAATACACATTTTGGTGAGAGTTTTCATCATAAATGGTTGCTGGGTCTTGTAAAATGCTTTCTCGGCATCTATTGATATGATCATATGGTTTTTATCTTTTATTTTGTTGATATGATAGATTATGTTGATTGATTTCCAGATGTTAAACCATCCTCTCATCCCTGGGATGAATTCAACTTGGTCATGGTGTATGATCTTTTTGATGAGGCATGATTGTGAACAATCATGTGTATGATTGTGTATGATCTTTTTTCCACTTGATTTCTTTTTGATGAGTTGTGGAATTCTATTTGCTAATACTTTGTTGAGATTTATCGCATCTGTGTTCATCAGGGTTATCGGTCTGTAGTTTTCTTTTTTTGTGGTTTATTTGTTTGTTTTTGGTATTGGGGATATGTGTGCCTCATAGAAACTGTTTGGGAGAGATACTGTGTCTTCAGTTTCCTAGAAAAGCTTGAGAAGAACTGGCAATAGGTCCTCTTTAAATGGTTGGAGTATTCACTAGTGAATCCGTCTAGACCTAAGCTTTTGTTTTGGGAAGACTTTTGATTACAGCTTCAATTTCCTTGATAGTATTAGGACTATTCAGTTATTCCAAATATTCTTGGTTCAGTCTTGGAGATCATAGGAATCCAAGAATTTATCCATTTCTTCTAGATTCTCTTGTTTTGTGGCATACAGATTTTCAAAGTAGTCTCTGATGATCTTTTGAATTTCTTTGGTTTCTGTTGTGATGTCCCAATTTTCATTTCTGATTCAGTTTATTAGGGTTCTCTCTCTCTCTCTTTCTTTGTGAGTCTTACTAGTGGTTTATCAATCTTGTTCATTTTATCGAAGAACCAGCTCTTGGTTTTATTGATCATTCATATTTTTGGGGGGTTTCCATGTCATTAATTACTGCTCTAAATTTTATTAGTTTTTTCTTTTGCCTGGTTTGGGCTCCTTTAGTTGGTCCTTTTCTAAGATCTCGAGCTGTGAAGTCAGGTTATTTTTGTGGGCCCTTTCTTCCTTCCTGAGAAATGCATGCAGAATTATAAATTTTCCCCTTAACACAGCTTTAACTGCATCCCATAGATACTGATGGCTCATGTCTTCATTCTAATTTGTTTCCAGGTATCTTTTGATTTCTTTCTTGATTTCCACTCTGACCTGCTCATTGTTCAACATTGAGTTGTTTAATTTCTAGGTGTTTGATTCGGTTCTCCATGTTCTTGTGTGATTAACTTCTATCTTCAGTACATTGTGGTCTGAAAAGATAGTTGATACAATTTCTGTCTCCCTGATTCTATTGAGGGATGTTTTGTGACCCAGCAGGTGGTCTATTTTGGAAAATGTTCCATGTGCACTGAAAAAAATCTGTATTCTTTCTTTTGGGAATGTAAAGCCCTGTATAGATCTATTAGCTCTCTCTTCTATTTCTTCCTTCAAAGCCAGTGTTTTCTTGCTGAGTTTTATTGTTGTTGATCTAGCCAGAGGTGATAAGGCAGTGTTGAAGACTCCAACTACCATTGTGTTGCTAGCAATGTCCTCCTTAAAATCTGTTAGCCGTTGTTTTAAGTATTTAGCTGGTCTCTCATTGGGTGCATATATGTTTAAGAGTGTGATTTCTTCCTGCTCTGCATATCCCTTGATTAATAAAAAGTGGCTGTCACTGGCCCTCTAATCTTTTACAACCTGAAATCTATGTTGTCATATGCTAATATGGCCACCCCTACTGTTTTGAGGGAATTATTTGCTTGCAGCATTGTTTTCTATCCTTTGACTTTGAGACTGTGTTTGCTCTAACTGTTCAGGTGTGTTTCTTGTAGGCAGCAGAATTTTGGTTTCAGTTTACGAATCCATTTTGCCACTTTGCCACTCTGTGTCTGTTAACTGGTGCTTTTAGACTATTGATATTGAGAGAGATTACTGTCGTGGGGTTTTGTGCCATCTTTCTGTAGAGGTTTGTTGCGCTTGTAGGGTCTTGTCTTGTCTTACAGTAGCCTCTTTAGTCCTTCTTACAAGTTCGGTTTTTAGTCTATAAAGTTCCTGAGCTGTTGTTTATACATAAAATAGTGTATCGTTCCTTTGAGTTTGAGTGAGAGTTTAGCTGGATAGAGTATTCTTGGTGAGGCGTTCATTTCAGTGAGTTTTTTCACTATATCCCACCATTGTCTTCGGGCTGGAAAGGTTTCCTCTGATAGGTTTGCTGTAAATCTAAGAGGTGCTCCTTTGTATATGATTTTCTTCTTTGACCTTGCTGCTTGCAGTTTTGTGTCTATCTGTGGCATCCATCATTCTCACTATGATATGTCTTGGAGTTTTTTTTATTAGGGTCTCTCTTAGCGGAACCCTTTGGGCTCCTTGGATCTGAATGCCTGCATTTTTCAGTTCTGGGAACTTTTCAGCAATGATTTCTTTAAATGTAGCTTTTTCATTGGGTTTGTTTTCCTGTCCTTCTGGTATTCCGATGATTCTAATGTTGTTCCTCTTAGAATCATCTCTTAGGTCTCTGATTCGTCTTATAGCTACTTTGAGGTCTTTTCTTATTGTTTGCTGTTGCCTGTAAACTTCCTGTGGCTCATCTTCAAGCTCAATAGCCTTTCCATTGTTTAGGGAACCCGCTGAGTTTTTTGTTTCATCTACTGAATTCTTTATTTACACTTCTGTTTGTAGCTTTCTAATTTCTGCTCTCATTTCTTCCTGTATTTTCTTAGCCGTCTGTTCACTGTTTCTCTCATATCCTCCTTTAATTTACTGGATATCTGCTCCACCATTTCTTTGAGTTCGTTGAACATCCTCAACATTTCATCTCTGAATTCTTTGTCTGAGAGATTACATTTGTGGGAATTTCCTGATGAGGCTTCAGGGCTCCTTTCTTCATCCACTACTTGTGGGGGAGGATCTGCACTGTTTTTTTATGTTGCTGTCCTAGTATGGAGGTTGGTCTCTCCAGTTCACTATCAGTTACCACTTCTAGCTGCATGGAAGGAAGGATTCTAGATAGGCTCGGTTGATGGCAGTCTCTTTTTTTCCCTTTAAGATGCTCCTCTGTGCCTTACATGTGGTTGCTAGTGTAGCTTCAGGAGATACGTTCTTTTTCATTGCAATTGTTCAATTCTTTGTGTTCACTGTTATTTTGGCCTTTTGGGAGAGTATTTTGATTGGAATAGGCTAGTGGACTATTGGCCTAATGTGATTGGGATAGCCAGGATGTCCTCTTCAGAATTAGATAATGGAGGCTGACTGTGAGTCTAAAATGCTGGGAGAGGGAAAAATAACTGCAGCTGCAGAGGCCACAAATGTGAGCCGCCTCACCATGAAGGGCAACGGGTCCCTTCAGTGTCTCAGCGGGATGTGGCGCTCCTGTGGCTCGCGGGGTTTTCACCACCCAGGTGCTCCTCAAGGAACCTTGGCAGGGAAAGGGGCTTTAAGGGGTTTCTTAATGCATATTTATTATTAAAATGTTATATCACATATTAAATTATAGTACTTTTACTTAACAAATTATTTTAAAAGGAAAAATATCAAATAATTATGAATTATATAACCAAGTTGGTTTTCTTTCTGTAGAATTGTTTTAATATTAGAAAAACATTAAACTAGCTAACCAAAAAATATTTAAAATATCAAACAATTCAGAAAAACACATTTAAAATAATTTCACATTGTTACACATGGTATCTTATGATAAAATGGAATATCTTCAATATGATTTAAAAATGACCCAAACAACAATGCCAACATTAATGACAGCAAATGTCAATCATAAAGCATTTCACATATTTCAGCATTCTGTTTTAGGAGCAGAGAAAGATAGGATGTCTATTTAAACTTTTATTTAAAAAATTTAGTACATGAAAGATTAAGAGAAAGAAGCAGAAGATTTAAAAGCAAAATCCTGGCTTTGATAAAGATCAGAATTTTGTTTCGAGCATCTGACTGTCTGATGATGGCACATCTGATAAAAGGTAAATTGCAAACTTATTCTCAAACAAGATAATAAAGGGAGAGGTACTGAATGTTGTACATAATTCAACATTATATATAATTTGCATATAATTACATATCAAAATACATCATGAAACAAAAAATTGAGGGATCTAAAGTGAGTCACTGGGGACCTTGGGGAAGGGAGATGGGTACAATGGTGATGGGTGAAGGGTTAGAATTATGTACATGGGATTATGTAAATTGGAATTATGTAAAATTTTGTATCATTAAAAATATTGTAAACATAGTACCTCAATCAATAGCAAGTTCACAATAAAATCACGTTTAAAATGGAAAGTAAAGGTGAGAAAACCCAACTGAGTCTCAACAAAGTGTAAAGCTGGAATTGGGGTGAGGAGACTTCTCATTTAATGTGTACTGACCCCCAAATTGACTGTGTTGTGACCCTTTTAATCTGAGGCATTAATAAACTGGACAAGGAGATGAAGACTTTTGTAGTTAGCATGTTTGCCAGTCATGAATATTTTATCCTAAAAGAGGCCTTGTGTTGTATTTTTAATAAAAACAAATTTCATCACTTTCCCAATTTCACTTTGGGATTTAATAAATATTAATGTCTAATGTCTTTACTTTAAAATTAACTTTAACACCTTGATTGAATATGAACTTAATAATTATTGGTTCAGTCATCGATTCAAAGACTAAATGTAGCAGTATGTTTATATATATGTATACATTTATTTATTTAATACTAAGAATTAATTACATGTCACATTCTATGTTTAAACACGAGTAAATCAATTTAATGGAGATTTGACTCTTAAAAAATTAGAAATTGCTAATAACTATTTTCCCTCTGAATACGTTGTTGCAGGTTACTTACGTCATAAAAATTGCAAAGAACACCTACACTTTCCATCTCATGAAACAGTAAGTGGTCATTCTTTTTAGTTTCAATTTTTTTACTATACCTGAAATAAGCTGAGCTGAAACAAGAGTATTAATGGCATGTTATGCATTATTATTTATGTTAGACTCACTTTCAGATTTTACCTTTAGATTTGGCATCTAACATTAAATATTTAACCTAGTATTAAATAGCAGTATATCAAATAAAAATAAAATACTGTTTAAATAATGCAAATATTTATATATGATAAATGAATGTATACATGCTACTCCTTAAAAGTATAACCATAATAGCAACAATTAAGGAAATAATTATATCTGTGTATGTTTTTTTTCAGTTTTACTTTTTTTCTATTTATATAACTTGAAATTCATTTTGCTTATTTTACATCACGTTTTTATTTTGCCATAGTATATATATTTTAATCTCTTAAAAATTCTGTGTTAAGTCTATGAAGAAACCATTATTAATAACAAATGAGCATTCACAATTTTTTGTTTTACATATTTATTTTTTAAATGAAACACAGAAATCTATCCCCAAATTTCTGCATTTACAAAAATGGAAATAGTGTTCTGCAGATATCAGAATTTGTTGAATAATGTCTACTGTCTTGTGTATGTTTTTGTTTGAAAGTCTCATCAAGCAATGCATAGGGACTACTCCTGGCTTATTTCAAGAGGAGAAATTGGTGATATCTGAGGAACTATGCAGAGCCTGGAACTGAACACAGGCCCCCAAAGTGCAAACAATATGCTTCAGAACATTGAATTAACTCCCCAAATATCTCTGTGTATATCCCATCAATTCATTTATAAACAAGGTTTAATAACATGCAATATTGATAACTTTTTAATTATTTTCAAGGATCCTCATGATAGTGCTCTCCAATATGCATCATTGTATATGAATATATATATATTTAAATTTTTATTAGTGAAACACCATGAGGTACAGTTGAAGATTTACAAATTTTTGTGCTTGGGTTTCACTTATACAATGGTCAAGTACTTATCCCTCCACCAGTGCTCATTCTCCACCACTAATGATCCCAGTATCCCTCCCATCCCCTTATCCCCCCATCCTACCTCACCACTGTGGCAGGGCATTCCCTTTTATTCTCTCTCCCCTGTTGGATGCTGTGGTTTGCAAAAGAGACATTGAATGGCAATCATGTTTGGTCTAGTCTACTTTCAGCAGTCTACTTTCAGCATGCATCTCCCATTCTGGGAGGATCTTCTCAACACCCTTTATTTAGTGCTCCCTTCTTTATCTGAGCTGCCTTTTCCCTTAGCATGTGTGGCTGACCTCCACGCCATGGAGTAAACTTCCTGGTACTTATCTTGGCTATTTTTGGATGTTAGTTTCCTATTTTGTTGCATTATATTCCCCCAGACAAATGCAATCTTTCTATGTCCCTCTCTTTCTGATTAATTTCACTTAGCATGATACTTTCCATGTAGTACCACTTGTATGTAAATTTCATGACTTCATATTTTCTAACAGCTACATAGTACTCCATTGTGTAGATGCAACCAAGTTTCTTTAACCAGTCATATGTTCTCGGGCACTCAATTTGTTAAAGAGGCACTCAGGCTTTTTCCAGATTTTGGCTATTGTAAAGAGTGCTGCAATGAACAAACAAGTGCGGATGTCACTTCAACTATACTTTTTTGCCTCTCTGGGATATATTCCCAGGAGTGGTATTGCTGGGTCAAATGGGAGCTCAATTTCTAATTTATTGAGAATCGTCCATACTGTTTTCCAAAGGGCTGAACCAGTCAGCAGTAAAGGAGAGTCCCTTTCTTGCCACATCCGCTCCAACACCAGTTGCTTTTGTTCTTTTGGGTGAGATCCAGTCTCTGTGGTATGAGATGATATCTCACTGTTGTTTTGCTATGCATTTCCCTGACGATTAATGATGTAGATGTAGAGCATTTTCTCATGCGCCTCTTTGCCATTCGAATCTCTTTTTTGAGAAAGTTTCTGTTCATTTCATTGCCCAGTTTTTTTGATGGGGTTGGATGTTTTCTTCTTCTGGAATTCGACCAGTACTTTGTATATACTTGATATCAACCCCATGTCGAATGGGCATTCTGTAGACTGTCTTTGTATTTTGTTCACTGTTTCTTCTGAGTTGCAGAAGCTACTTAGTTTAAGATAGTCCCATTTGTCTATCTCTGTTTTCACTTGCTTGGCCAGTGGTGTGACATCTTTGAAGCTACCCTTAGCTTCAATGTCGTGGAAGGTTTTGCCAACCTTGTCTTCAATGTACTTCATGGATTCCCGTCTGATGTTGAGGTATTTAATCCATTTTGATCTTACTTTTCTACATGGTGTTAGGCAGAGATCTGAGCCCATTTTTTTTTTTCTTGTAGCTCTCCAGTTTTGCCAGCACAATTTGTTAAAGAGGCTTTCCTTGCTACACTTTATATTTATTGCTCCCTTATCAAAGATTTTATGATCATATGTTTCGGGGGAGATGTAAGTATACTCAATGCTGTTCCATTGGTCTACAACTCTGCCTTTGTTCCGGTATCATGCTGTTTTAACTATTACTGCTTTGTAGTAGAGTTTGAAGTTAGGGAGGTTGATTCATCCCATTTTCTTTTCCCCAAGAATAGCTTTAGCTATTTGTGGGGACTTATTGGTCCATATGAATTTCCGAGTGTTAGCTCCATTTCTCTGAAGAATGACATGGGTATCGTTACAGGGATCACATTGAATTTGTACAATTTGTTCAAGTCTATTGTTTCTAGAAGCTTCTTGGTAGAGGTTTTAGGGTACTTTAAGTATAGTATCATATCATCTGCAAATAGTGAGATCTTGATTTCTTCTATTCCTACCTGAATGCCCTTAATATCTTTTTCTTGCCTAACCACTATTGAAAGTACTCCTAGTACTATATTGAACAGCAGTGGAGAGAGTGGGCATCCTTGTCTCATCCTTGATCTTAGATGGAAGGCTCTCTGTTTTTCCCCATTGAAGAGGATGATTACTATAGGCTTGTGGTAGATGGCTTTAACTATATTGAGGACAGTCCGCTCTATACCCATTTTGGTGAGGGTTTTCATCATAAATGGGTGCTGTATCTTGTCTAATACTTTCCCTGCTTCTATTGATATGATCATATGAATTTTATCTTTTCTTTTGTTGATATGATGGAGTATGTTGATTGATTTCCGAATGTTAAACCATCCTTGAATCTCTGGAATGAATTCCACTTGGTCATGGTGTATGATCTTTTTGATGAGTTATTGAATTATATTTGCTAGTATTTTGTTGAGATTTTTTTGTAGTATTTCTTTGATTTTGTGTTCATCAGGGATATCAGCTTGTAGTTTTCTTTTCTTGTGGTGTCTTTGTTTTCTTTTGGTATTAGAGAGATACGGGCTTCATAAAAACTGTTAGGGAGAGTTTCTGTTTCTTCAATTTCCTGGATAAGCTTGAGAAGAACTGGCAATAGGTTCTCTTTAAATGTTTGGAAAAAATAGCTAATGAATCCATCTGTACTGCGCTTTGGTTTTTGGAAAGACTTTTGTTTGCAGCTTCAATTTCCTTGAAGTTAACAGGTTTATTCAGGTACTGTAGATCTTCTTGATTCAGCCTAGGAGATAACAGGAATTCAGGAATTTATCAATTTCTTCTAGGTTTTCTTGTTTTGTGGCACATAGACTTTCGAAGTAGTCTCTGATGATCTTTTGAATTTCTTTGATTTCTGTTTTGATATTCCCCTTCACATCTGATTTGGTTTATTAGGGTTCTCTCTCTCTCTCTCTCTCTCTCTCTCTCTCTCTGTGAGTCTTGCTAGTGGCTTATCTATCTTGTTTATTTTCTCAAAGAACCAGCTGATCTTTCACTGATCTTTCAGATTGTTTTTTGGGTTTCCATGTCGTTGATATCTGCTCTAAGTTTTATGATCTCTTTCTTTCTGCCTGATTTGTGCTCCTTTGTTGATCCTTTTCTAAGATCTTGAGCTGTGAAGTCAAGTTGTTTATGTGGGCCCTTTCTTCCTTCCTGAGAAATGCTTGCAAAAGTATAAAGCTTAACAGAGCTTTAGCTGCATCCCATAGGTTCTGGTAGCTCATGTCTTCATTCTCATTTGTTTTCAAGCATCTTTTGATTTTGTCCTTGACTTCCTTCCTGACTCAGTCATTGTTCATCATTGAGTTGTTTAATTTCCAGGTGTTTGATTTGGTTCTTCTTGTCTGTGTATGATTCACTCTATTCTCAGTGCATTGTGGTCTGAAAAGATTGTTGATACTATTTTTATCTTCCTGATTCTATTGAGGTATGTTTTGTGCCTAGCACATGGTCTATTTTGGAAAATGTTCCATGCACACTGGAGAAGACTGTGTATTCTTTCTTTTGGGGATACAAAGCTCTGTATAGGTCTATAATCCCTCTCTCTATTTTGTCCTTCAAAGCCAATGTTTCTTTTCTGAGTTTTGTTCTTGTTGATCTCTCCAGAGGTGATAAGGTGGTGTTGAAGTCTCTGGCTACTATTGTATTCCTAGCAACATCCTCCTTAAGATCTGTTAGCAGTTGTTTTAAATATTTAGCTGTTCCCTAACTAGGTGTGTATACATTTAAGAGTGTGATTTCTTCCTGTTGTATGTATCCCTTGATGAATATAAAATGGCCTTTGCTGTCCCTTCTAATCTCTTTCAACCTAAAATTTATGCTGTCAGATATATATGTATGTACGGCAACCCCAGCTCTTTGGAGGGAGCTGTTTGCTTGCAGGTTTGTTTTCCATCCTTTAACTTCAAATTTGTGTTAGCTCTGACTGTTCAGATGAATTTCTTGTAGGCAGCAGAATATTGGGTTCTGTCTCTGAATCCATTTTGTCACTCTGTGTCTCTTAATTGGTAAACTTAGATTGTTGACATTGAGAAAGATTATTGTTACAGAGTTTTGTGTCATCTTTCTGTAAGGGTTTATTGTGCTTGTAGGGTTTGTCTTGTCTTATAGTAAGCCCTTTAGGCTTTTTTAAGGTTTGGTTTTGAGTCCATGAAGT